AATTTGACTCACTGGTATTAAAACATTTCTTTAACCGTTACTTCTACTACATAAGCACTATATGTACAGGCATATATTTTAATTATGGGTGAATAAGACATCCATCCTGTGACTTCTCTGTCTATTCTAGTATACCTTTCAGATTGTTTTTTTCAGTCATAATTAAGCAACAAGACAAACTACTTGGTCAAAATGTCTTTTGTTATTCATTGGATCAGCGATACTAGCAGAATAGAATTGGGTAACGTCATCAGCAAGGTTCACACAAGAATGTCAAAATCCACCATCTACATCTTTAAGATATCAACATTACAAAAAAACTGGATCTACTGCTCATTTCTCAGTCTTCAAGAAAACAAGCCTTCACTAGTAGAAAATCAAAACAGTTAATTCATATCAATTTTTGAACTGACACACAGAGTTTATCTTAATGGAAAATATACTGTAGCAGCTGTAAACACAAGCAATGTGCCAGCCTTCAGTGAGAAAGGGAATCCATTTTTGTCTCCATTCCCTTCAGTTAACATTGAGGCACCTAATACCTCACAGTTATTTTTGGATCTCCAAATACTGACACAGTAGTATGCATGCACAGGCTGCCACAGCAGTGTGTTATTATTGTTTTAACATACAAAACCTGCCGGTGACTAGTGTGCAGCACTCACTGTCACACCTCTGAATGCACATACATTAACACCATTAGAGACTTCTGAGTCTTTTCTATCCACCACCATATGTGCGTAACACCTCTTGGCTGATTCATTGCCTGCCCTCTGATTTGCACTTCATGGAGCTGGAGCCGTGGGCCTGTGTGTAGCTGAAATACGAGGTGTCCAGCCAGGAGGAAGTAGGCGTGGGATTCATTCACCTTTGTGATCAGGTTCTGTGGTGAAGTTCACCACTTATGGGAGGCCTGGCCACCTGAGTCCTTTAGTTAGCTACCTTAATCTTATGAATGTTATTAGAATACTAATCCACTGCCATGGATGAAACTAGCTACTGCCAAAGTGGTACCTCTTAGCCTCTTCTATCTGAAGCAGAGAAGCCAAGCAGGTCCTTGAGGTGACAGCAGTACTACCTTCTAAAAAAATTAAAGGGAGTGACACAGGTGCATTCCTGTGGTGGGCTGCACCGGGGTCTGGCACGGGTGCTGCCATACAGCTGGTTCTGAGGAAGGGAACTGGTCTTCTGCAGGTTCTATGCTTGAATCATCCCACAGAGTCAATCACTGACCTAGTAACGCCTTACTCTAACCTTAACCATTACAATTGTATGCCTTATCTTAACACTTACCCTAACATAAACCAGCCCTAATTCTAATCCTAAATCTAAACACCTAAATTATTAAAACCTCAAAGTTGTATTTTAAGGCTTCACAACACATTGTTAGCACAAATTGGACACATTAGCTAACAAATGAACTTTTTTAATTTTAACTGCAGCAGTAAGTTGCATATCAACTAGTGTCAACTTGTGTCTTAAAAAAGTGAATAAGCAGCAACAGGAGAGTAGAGATGTGCAGAAAAGCAGAATATGGCCAAAACATGCAGTTATGCTAAGAGGCTAACAATTTGGAAATCACATAGACCTACTGTACACTGTAATATTGAATTGACTTTACACTTAAATATCTGAATTTTTAATTGATGTAACTGCTGTCCTATACATAGTTCACCTGAAACTAACAACAACTATGATGAAAAAACAGGAACATCTTTTCAACAACACCATACGTACCACAGCTAATATACGTCAGAATGGAAAAATAGCACAAACGCTTTAACCATTTGTTCATTTGTTGAAAGAAATCTGTTTTTAATTATAGAAATCACGAGGTGACATCACACAGTATCTGGCACAGGGTATGATTTTTTACACCTCCAGTATTCCTGTTTCACTCAGCACAAACACAGACGTCAACACTTCTCTCTTCTTCACACTGTTGTGACACCTCTGGAGCAATTTCAAAGTGACGCACTGAGCAAAGCAGCTGTTTGCCGCTGCACCTCCCTTTTGCTAAATGCTAATGAGAAGATGATCAATAGGAGAAATTAACAGGTTTTAGGATATCAATCTTATATATTTTTATTTATGGAATATGCATGTGAATGTCCAGTATCATCATATTCAGCAAAGTGTGAATCTCCTGTCTTCTCACTTAAGTAAGGAATTGAATCAATAATTAGAGACGCTAAATATGGCAGAAAGCCTGTTCCAGAGCCTGCAGTGGTTCTCTGCATCTTTACTGGTCTCACAACTGGATTGTTTTGAATTACATTCCCAGTTTTGTCAAACTACTAGACTATTTATGTCCTGATACGTACACAAGAAGCACGGCACAACATTGTTTTATATAAATCTAGTCTTGCAAACCCAGCCACAGTTTACCCAAGATTAAGGAATTAAACAGAGAGCATGCAGAGTGGGCTAGCATTTATACATGCTATAAATATAACATATAACATAACATATAACAGCTGTAGTGCGAAAGCCGTCAACAACAAATTATCAATGCAGAAACAGGAAAACACAGCTCAGACAGAACAGAGAGTTATGATCCCTCTTGCCTGGGAGATCAATGAATCATCAAACTGAGACAATCTGCTCCAGGTCCATTCATGTTTAATAACTGAAGATTTTCTGAAAATACTTAAGGCTCATTTCTGCCCGGCCGATTAAAAAGATGATCCTAAAGACCCTGTCATTCAGTGGTGGTCTAGAAAGTCTGGTGCGTGAGCCTGAAGAAAAAAAGATTTAAAGATTTAAAAATGACTCTGTGCAGTTAACCCATATGTGAACTGCAGAGCTTAGAACTGTACTTAGAGGAGCAGTGGGCTGCAGTTTTTTTTAGTTCGACTGCAGGCTGAGGACGTTTTGGTGCTTGGTTAAACCAATATAGTGTAAATACTGTTCACCCAAAATATACCGTAGATTTTCAGAATCTACGTTAAATTATACTCCCTTGAAGTCACCCTGAGTGTGTGTGCAGTAATAGCAACAGCAGGATCCACTGGCTACTTGCTGAATGTACAGCCTAAGGTCACGTGGCTCAAGTCTCTACACCTACAATATTTCATGCCCCCTGAGCTCAGGTGCACCTCAATCTGGTAACAGACCTTGAAGAAGCCCTTTAGGTGGCGCTCTGAGTTACTAGGGTGAATGAGTGTTGCCACCTAGGCTCAGAAAGTGCTTTGGTTTTGAATCTTTTGCAGCCAAGTAGCACCATTTTTAACCCTGCTGGCAGTCTTGCCCTAGTTTCCCTGCAGATGTTTGTTTGAAAAAAGGGAGGGCCCTAGACACTGAGACATGTATGGAGTGGAGAGGCAGGCACCAAAGTCCCCTTCATGTTAGCCCATATCTGTCACATTTTGGATAAAGATCCTACATTCACTATTCAAAATTTTAGCAAACTATATTGTAAGAATAAATCCAAAATTCAGTAGCCAAGAACATCAGGTCTAGTCCATATAGATATACACAGTAGACACTGGTAGAACTGCAGAGATTCTATAGAATATGTCCTTTATTAAGGGCTGTGATGCTGAGGACATCAGTGTTGTCAGTGCACTGCACAGCAACGTCGACCACCCAGTTGCTGGTCACCGGTGACTAGCCAGTCAACTGGTGTGTCTCTAGAACAGACCTGTGTTTGAGGGGGGGCCACTTAAGCCAAGCGACTGTAAAAAGCCCATTCAATATCCTTTACTTCCTTGATTAATGTTATAGTAAACAGAGAGACTCCTATTTAAATTGATAATGGAAAGTGGGATAAACAGCAGAACAATGTGATACAACCACATTAGCTTTAACCACCTTAACATCACGAGGCTCTTACTCTGTCAGCAGCTCTAACAAAATAATCAATTGCATTAGCAGAACCCATGAAAACACAAAGTCTGGGAGTTGGCAGCCAGACGAGGAGCCAGTGAAGATGGATTATCTGTGTAAACTGCACAAAAATAAAAACAAAGAAAACCTTGGCCAAAACAGAACTACAGTAATGATATAAATAAAAGCTAAGAATGCAGATTTCTTTTTACACTTGTGATGTGAAGATGCGATGGCAACTAGCTCTGCTTTTCCTTCAGCTTAACATTCTTGTTCCACATAGACTCTGTCTGCCTTGACGGTGGTGAGAGAACCAGGACATTCAATTTTACACATTCTACAAGCCAGTGGTAAGACATTTTCCCATACTAATAATTACTCATATATACATCTACCTGCTGTTATTTGTCTTTTTGTTTCAGTAATATACAGAAAAAAAAGTACTTTGATGACTATGAAGAGTCATCGTGATAAATTAAATTGGGATTGAGCCAAAGCTAAAAAGGCCTTAAAATAATTTGAATTGATTGTCAGTCCAAATGTGTATAACTAGGACTATATATAAACGTATAAAAGTTTTATATTTGGTGCCTTATTTGAGTATGATAACTGATGTCGTATGGTAACAGGGTTGGTGTGTGAGGGCAGCAGATCCTCAGGGTCAGTCAATAAAGGCTAAAATGCTAAAATGCTTTTTACCTTTTCTATGTCACCAATTGGGAAATTGCGGGCATTGCAGGGGAAAGACAGAATTATATGGGCAAACTACGGCCCGGGGGCCGAAGTTTGCCCATGCCTGTGCAAGGGACACATATACTGGATACACTGTGTAAGCAGCCCAGGATTGAACAAAACAACGAGACAACACGCCTACACGGACACGCCTCCGTCCAGATAGCGACACTGTGGTCAACCACGGTGGTTTGTGATTCTCTTGGAGAAGTCTAGCCATCAATACAGCGACCAGGCCCGGAGGCAGGTTCTGCGCCTTGCCCGCTAAAATAATGACTTTATGGGTTTATTTAGACTGATGGGAGCGCAGGTGACATCTGAATCTGCATCACACACGGACAACATACATCATAAACACACACACAGGGAGAGAGTCCCGCGTCCCCGCCTCCCTGTATGCTCTGGCCCCTCTCATGTTCAGACACCCTACTGTATCTCACCTTGTTTGACACATTTGAAGCGGACCGGGTCTTTGCAGTGTTTAATCACGGCTAGCACGTCCCGAGTGGTGAGTCCGGCCACTGGCATGTCGTTGACCTCCAGCAGCAGCTCGTCCTGGGCCAGTTTGCCGCTCTGGATCAGTCCTTTCCCCTGCTTCACCTCCCCAAAGTAGGGGAACTGGCCGTTCTCCGCGCCCCCCTTCAGCTCAAAGCCCATCTCCCCATCCTTCCCGCGCGTAATAACCGCTTCGTGGACTTTGTTGGTCCAGTGGTTCTTCTTCTTCAGGCTCTTAGACATGGTGAGGGCGAGTTAATGTCCAACGGGCTAGCCCATACAAACGCCTGCTACCGTGTCATTTCTGTCTGTGAACGAGTGGCGGCGGCTTCTCACGGCACTGAAGGCTCCATCATTAGCAGCGGCGAACGTCAGACGAAGTGTCCGCTTAGCTAACCGCGAAGTCGGGCAGGGAGCTGCGGTACAGCGCGGCGGAGGCAGAAACGATGGTAATTCTGTCAAACACACAGGCAGACACAGGAGACAGATAGTGGCGGATGACCCGGATGTGAAGCCTGAAGGAGGGGAGAGATGAATGGTTCTGGTTCGGCGTTAAAGGATGGAGAGGAGGGGAAAATAACAGGAGGCGCCTCAGTCCTCACTCCTCATACACTACAGCCCAGCTGCTGCTGCTGCTGCTGTCAGGAGATTCTCTCTGTGATCACACTGACGCAGGGTCAGACTGGGAGGACCCACATTTTACACTGCGTTGTGTCCTATAAACCCAAATCTATTTATTAATCCTAATAAATATGGAGTGTATAATATCTGTTTTCTAGTCTTTAATAGTCATTTCCATTTTATTGCTTTAAACTTGGATGGCCATTTTCTTATATCTCTGTTTTAATTGTATACTGCCGTTGTCAATGCTAATTTTAAAGAATAAAAAGTTATAACTATTTTACTCTTATTGTCAGCTGCCGCTATATTGTTCATGGAATCTTGCAGGGAATTTTTTTTTACTGCTAGTATAACGTGATAAAATGTGATTCATAACAGGTGATACAATAAAGTACTATCTTGTCTTACCTGTTTAGTTGAACAAAATGCCGGTATACTTGCAGAAATAGATGACAAGTTGTTACAGACAAATTAGGTGAAATTGAACAACTTCCCACAGTCGATGAATCACGTATACTGTAATAGGTGAAATTGAACAACTTCCCACAGTACACTCGATGAATCACTGGTATACTGTAGACCAGTGATTCCAAAAGTTTCTAGAGCGCCCTCTAGTTAGATAGGACCCCTCCGTGACGTGGATACATTTAGAGATTAGAGAACTTTACCTCAAACAATGGAATGTCTACAAACTTAATTTGTCATTAAACAGTGAAAATACAATTATAGATGAATGTATTTTCCCCACCTAGGACAGACAAAGGAAATACTCCCAACTTCATAATATCTCAACAGCCCCACCTATGGGAACCACTGGTAAATACAACATAAAATATATAGTTTTGAATAATCAAATATAAACCTGATAGATAGATAGATAGATAGATAGATAGATAGATAGATAGATAGATAATGTGTTGTTTATATGTTGACAGCATAAATGATATGGTATTTGGTGTATGATGATGTGACTTTTTTTCCAGTGCATCATGATCTGAAATTGAAAGTGCAACAACAATAGGTTTATGTTCAGCCACATAACACTTTTAAAAACTAAGGTCAGGCATTTGCAGAAATATCATGCAAACCATTTCCTTCAGTAATAACTCAATAGCTTAAACTACATCATTTACTAACGTGCCTTTTCTCACAATGCTGTCCGTTTACAGTATTATACATTTCTAAACTGATGTAAATCAAAGTAAACCAGGGAATGACAAATCCATTTGTTGCCATTACATATTTATGCCTATATGGCTTTCAGAAGTGGGTCAAGTTGACTGAATATTTAAAGAAAAAGGTCAGGAGCTGTTTCTTTATATCTACTGTACCGTGGATGACGGAATCACAGGAAGAGGTTCCTTTACCCTCTGGTTAAAGTCAATTGAAACAGGTTTAATCACAGACCGTTTATGTGTATCATTCAACTATTAGTTTTTTCCATGATTCCAGACTAATCTTTATTAACAAAAGAGATGAGGAAAAAAAGAACACCATCAATTTTTTTAACAATTATTATTTCTATTTGGCTTACTGATTAACCAAAGTGGTACTTTTTACCTGAAGTCAAGCAGAAGTTCTTCCCATCATTTGATAGGCCTTTAACTCACTGCCTCTCTCTCCCTCTCCCATGCTCTGCCTTCTTTTCTGCAACTGCTGTATGGAAAGAATTGCAAACCAAGTGGTTTCTCTGCTGAGATGAAAGGGTCACCTTGATGCAGACAATAATACAGTGTATAGTCTCGAGAGGATGAAGACACTCCTCCTGCTTCTCTTTACCATACTGAGCTGTAAATTGTGTTGAGCTCAGACAGAATGTATCTTGGATTTAACTGACAGAATAAAACTGAGGAGACTTTGCTGATGTTTGTGTTATTTCTAAGGGTCTTAAGAGTTCCCTTAACCTAAAAAGAAAATTCCCTACAATGCACCTTTTGGTTCCCCTTTTTATTTTTATTTTTTCCTGTTTTTTCTTTTACCATAAACGTTTTATGATTTAACTATGCATAGTTAAAAGTATTGTTTGACAAAAACGTAACTTTTATCATGATTTAAAAATGATTTTTCTATAATTAATGAGAATGAGATAATGAGATCTGATGTGCCATACTGTATATACATGATCATTATTATAGGTTTGATGAGCAGACAGATAAAAGCCAGCCCCAAGGCCAATGAGAACACTACAGTTATTTTGCATTTTTAAACATGAATGAGATATTTAAAATATGCAGTTATATGTTTACCTGTGTATGTGTACAGTGGTGCGGTTGTAGGGTCTCCACCTGCAGTGTAGAAGGTGGAGGTCTTTCCTGTTCTTAATCCCAGATTGGAGAGCATTATGAAGTAGTGATAGAGAGACAGGCCAAGTTTCACCAGTGCTAGGCTAGGCTAGCTGTTCATGCTAATTCTCTCTCTCTCTAAATAATTTTGTCCCACTCTGTAGTTGCACACTCATTCCTCTAGGTGGAACTGTCTACTCCTGTACCCAAGTAAGATGCAGTGCAGAAAAACCTCTGTGCAAGAGTTTCCAAAAATGAACCTCCTAATGTATGTGAACATCTGGCCATGCACTTCAAAGTGAAAAAACATGCATATTGGAAATGAATGTTTCTTAGATTTACTCTTTTTTGACCACATTTGTGACCGTTGGTGAGAATAGTTTTTGTGGACCTTTGACTGGTGAACTGTGTAGAGCAAGGGTGTCAACACTTTCTATCCAAATGAAGGGTAGAAATGATATATATTTACTCATATAAACATACTTAATATATACATTATATGACTGAATTATAATTATAATTGAAATTAATGCTAGTCCTACAAGACGACGGAATATATTTTTATAATAATTTACACCTAGTATGACTGTTTAATTCCATTGCTCTATAAGAATGTTGATGACAGGCCTGAGGCACTGCATCATGAGTTGCCGTCAAAGATAAATATTTATTTCCAATACATTTAATCTAATTATTGAGAAAAATAAATGACCAACATGATTCACCAACTGAATCATTATCTGTTGAAATATATAAAAAAAGGAGACAGAGGAAAGAGCTGTTGCACAAGTTGCGATGGTTTTACCATAGCAACTCTTTTATTAGCAAAATCATGGATATTAGTCCACTAATGTCCCCATCCAATGGAAACAGAGGGCATAAAGGGGTATATGTAACTTGAAACCTTCAAAACTCAAAATCGATGACAGCGCACTACAAACCCAGCCGCCTGTCTGTTAATGCACTGAACACACATCTTTATATGGTTGGTCCTACTGTTTGCTACAAGGCCGCCGATGGCATCCTCCTTTCAAAGCTTCTTTTGACATTGTGATCCAATCTGGAATGATTCAGCTTTTAGCAGCACACCAAGAATGTGGGCTAGTCAAAAAGCGGGAGATGCTTGTTTTTGGTTGCTTTAAAAAAATACAACTTTGAAAGAGGATGACACGTAGAGGAATAAAGTCCCTTTGTTTGTTTTTTGTTTTTTTTTTATTGTGCACGCGCACCGAACCACACGCATACACACACGCACGCAGGCACACACACCTCACAGTATGTCAGAGTCGGAGTAAAATAATCTACAGAGTAACTTGGTCTTCCTTGGTGTGTAAAGGGTGAAAAAGTATCGGGACAAAAATGATTACAAAAAGAAAGAAAATATGGAATCGAAGGAGGCTGAGAAAGGCTGGGTAGCGACCAAACCTAGCATCTACATAGAAAAAAAAATAAAAAAATAATAATAAAAGACAGCAACTAAGGCATGCAATGCACACGTAACGAAATATAAAGATGATAAAGTGTGCAGTTACAGACAAAAATATGTGAAGCCCCCAATTTTATACAAAAATTAAAAATGATGATAAAAGGTAAAACACACATTTTTAAAACCCGTGAAAAATCCCCTGACCTAGACAGTTGTACAAATATTTTACACAAAACATTTTTTCTACACTGCCTTGGAAAATTTGAAGAGATGAACATAAGTTAATAAAGAGTTAAAAGTGACATTCTCTGCAGGGTCCACAAAGACCCCTCCAGTCAGACTCGGCATGAATAAAGTCACCTGGTAATTTGACCAACCGTCTGCCTAAACAGAGAGAAAAATAAACATTAAAGGAGAGAAACTTGACAGAGCGACTTAGATTAGCCTGTCTGCCCTCGACGACCGCACAGTACCTTTAGAAAAGGCCGCAGTCCTTCAGGTTGTTCTTAATGATGACATCAGTGACGGCATCAAAAACAAACTGCACATTTTTGGTGTCTGTGGCACAAGTGAAGTGGGTGTAGATCTCCTTTGTGTCCTTTCTCTTGTTCAGGTCCTCAAACTGGCACTGAATATACGCTGCTGCTTCTTCGTAGGTGTTAGAGCCTAAAGGTCAAGAGGACGGGGAGGAAACCGACTAATTAAAAAAAACTGGACCAGTACAATTGTAACATAATTACCCAAAAAATAAATAATCAGTAAGGATTTTCCCCCTTTGTTTTCATGCTAAGAAGTACAATTATATTCAAAAATATTCATATTTAATTAAATATAATTTGAACAAAAACAAAGTGTTTGTGCATCAAGCGGGCTGCACTGAATCCCTTAGTAGGCCAACTTTGGCCTGTGGGCCGTATGTTTGACACCTGCCATACACTGTCATACAGTGACAATATTGAACTTAGGTACAACATCTTGCCCAGTTAACCTGTTAGTTTTTGACTCTTTTATGCACTTTTGTTTAATGACGTCAAATGGCCAAACAGATCATGGGATATTGAGAATCTTACTTTTTTTAAGCAAACATGGTCATTATTTTTAATGCAAGATTATACCAGCGCTTCCTGTGTATGTGAGTCAAGAAACATCTTTTTAGAATTCTTTGCAAAAGTGTTATAAATGTTAAAGAGTGAGATGTTTGATTGGTCAGGCCTTCATATCAGCATTTATTCTCCTCAGGTACAAACACACAAACAAACGGTTGTATAAAGGTCACCATTTCTTAAATAGAAAATTATTGGTTTATAATATAGTATGGACTAGAAAGACCAGCTTATTATCAGTCATCATGACACTTGAGCTCAGTTTAGTACACAACATTTACTGTGACTAATTTAGCTATGAAATGTGATGCTATTTGTGACCCATTTATCTCCACGAAATATCAATCGTCAAGCATATTTTGTTGAAATTATTTGGTTGACTTCAGGCTCAATCGTGAACTCCCAAAATCCTATCCCACACAGTTCAGGAGCACGAAACAATACAGAAAGATCTTTGTCAGCTGCAGCTTTGACCACACCTTTCAGTGTCGGACAAAAATGTCAAATCCAAACCTCCCTGTGTATTGTTTTAATCCCAAGCAATAGTTTAGTGTTTGAAGACAAATATTTAAACTACAAGTGATCTTCATTCTAACCGCCCACAGTGGGAATTATTGCATCTGAGGGAAAAAGACAGGGGGTCTGGGCACAAAATAAAAGGATCTGAATGCACCACAGAGTACACGGAGTGCAGTTGTGTGTATATTTAACATCTTTTCCTCTCTCACCTGCATATTCTGGGTAACAGATTGTAAGGGGACTCTTTTTGATCTTCTCCTCAAACAGGTCTTTTTTGTTCAGGAAGAGGATGATGGAGGTGTCTGTGAACCACTTGTTGTTGCAGATGGAATCAAACAGTTTCATGCTCTCGTGCATGCGATTCTAAAGGAAGATCAAAAAGAAATGAGTTGTGTTGAAAAGCTCTTTTCACCATGAGTGGTAACCTATGGGTTAGTTAGTGTTTGACATATCTGACCATCTCTTCGTCCTCAGCCAGCACTAAATCATAGTCACTCAGGGCCACGCAGAAGATGATGGCAGTGACTCCTTCAAAACAATGGATCCACTTCTTCCTCTCAGATCTCTGACCTCCTACATCAAACATTCTATGGCAAGATCACAAAAAAAAACAAGGTTGAATGACTGCAGCAGAAAAACAAAACATTTACACTGGAAAAAAAAGGTGGTGAAACAGGAGTCATTTCGTCACTTTATAGAATTCAGCTAGTTAACTGTGTCATGCACCGTCCTGCAGAGTTGGGTTACTGACAATATGAAAAGGAAAAGAAAGGTGTGTAGTTGTACTCACTTGAAGTGCAGGTCCTTGAATGTAAAGTGTGTTTCTACAATACCAGTCGTTTTAACCCTGGTCCTCAACACATCCTGCTGGGTGGGCACATAAGAGCCATGGGATATCCTGTCCAAATCATTTAGGTAGCTTTTTTTTAATGAAAGAAGAAGAGAATAAAGTCAGGAAATTTAAGTGACCAGAAAAGACTATACTGTCCAATGAACCCCTCACACCATGTTCTCTTTATAATAAACACACATCGATCACACACCCTAGCTTTACTGAGTTAGCTGAGTTTATCTACAGCTACGGTTTAGAGTTAGTTCGACGGACAGTTCACATCCTACTCACTATGCTGCCGAGTCATTAAGCTGGTACTCGCGGGAGCGGCCGAAACAGGCCTGAACGCCTCCGTCTTTCCACAGCCGCTGGATGACCCCGGCCAGCTCTCCGGTCATGAAGCCCTCCTCGGCTGAACCTGCCAGGACAAACAGCTGCCGTGCGTCGTCCTGAGGAGACGGAAGTCTTTTAGTTAATGTTGAACCAAAAACACTTAGAACAGGCGTGGGCAAACTTTTTGACTCGTGGGCCACAGTTGTCCTAAAATTGAAAGGAGGGCCGGGTCAGGAGCACAAAATACTAAAAATCCTTTTAGCATTTTCTGCACCATCTATTGGGGAAACGTGGGTATTGCAGGGGAAAGGCAGAAGTATATTGATAATATAATTAAATTATATAATTTGGAAAAGTTTGGCTGCCTGATTAAAAAGTTAAACGGCCTGCATCCAGCTCCCGGGCCTTAGTTTGCCCATGCCTAAATAAATTAATTAAAGAAACTGTCTTAATTCATTTTTGTGGTTGATTGCCCTTTTACAGTGCCCTATTAAAGCATTTTTGAAATTTGCCCTAGTCTGAGAAGCAGACTAGTTACCAAGACCAAAATCTGAACCTGAATCCTTGAGTTTAAAGTTGGTTACAGTAACACAAAGCCAGATCTTGTCACATTAACTAACATTAACTAACCTAACCCCTTACTATTAAGAAAAAAAAAACAGAAAGCAGAAAAATCATCCCGTTGCCTGAACTGCATTTTAAAACAACACGGAGCAGATGGAAAATTAAATACTAATAGTTAAATCCATTACTAATAGGAAAGTTCCCTTCCATGTTTGTGTCCTGCTCTTGGTGAGGTTCACTTACAGCTCTGGCTGGATCAGCAAAGTCAATCTTGAGGCGTCCCATAGCTCTGATGATGGCGATGATGGACTGGATGGTGTTGCTGTAGACTACGGCCTTGTACTGCTTACATTCCTCCTCTGAGTAGCCCGCTTCATGAATGATCCTGAAGCACAACAACACAACATGGTGTAGTTACCAAATGGTAGAACGTTGTTTACATATCAGCAGCTACAGTATATGTGAACTACACACTAAATCTGAATTTTTGCATCTACAGTAAAAGCATTGACACGTTTGGATGCACATTTCGACCAAGACCTCTACATCCGCCGCTGCCCTGCGTACTACTCAGATTTGACCCTAGGCCTGGATGTAATGATGTAATAGCTGGAGAGATAAAAATGTCACGGTTGTTCCTCATATTTCCCGTGGTCTTTATCCTGTTCTACACTTCAAAGACGTTCCTAATCTAATGGTTTTAAGCATAGACTCGACGCCTCTCATGAAGTGCTCAGGCGTTTTCCAAGAGATACTTTTAAAACCGCTGCATGTAGAACATGCCTATCAGCCATAACAGAATGACCACATGACTAAACATTGTGTATGTACTTGACCTCTGAACGGGGCTATTAGCAGTAGATGCTTGTAAATTTCGAGGAATGTCTATTTGAGATAATCAGGTGCTCAACGCTGGCGCCCACAACAGGACAAAGACGGGGGCACCCTGACCGGTCTGTGGCTCTGCAGACCCATATACAGGACAGTGTAATGCACTGTCTATTCACACCTTTCTATTTAACACCTTTCCATCAAACCAGCACTGTTTTCAACAATTTCACTTCTTGGCTTTTCCATACATTTGGTAACTTTACATTTTTTTCACTTCCGTTTATTTGCTTCCTTTTTTTAAAGCTTTGCTTCTCTATTTCAATTATTGCTGGAACATGTCGATGATGTCAATTGAACTGCCACTGTGCTTTGTGCTCGGCCTTGCCGTAGTGCATAACTTTATATAACTCACACCAGGAGTTAACGGCAGTGTTTACCGTTTCGGCCAAATTTTAAGAATCCTTAACAGCTGTTTCTGCTTCAGGTAATAACTTCTCACTTATGGAAAGGAGTTTAGCACCTGGTTGTATTTATTGTGTAATCATACTTATATGTTTCCTATAAAAAAAAATCTAACATTTTGCACGTGCACCTATTACTTATAACACTGGATTTAAGGCAGAAGGTAGTTGCAAGAATTTTTTGGGGTGTACTTAATGTCTACTTATATTATATTCTGTATAATCAGAATACAGTGTATGTTTTATTACAAATGTATAAAAGTATAAACTCCTAAACCACTCTTACGGTTTATTAGCAATTGTTTGAACGATCAGGCTAAAGCGATCCACTTACATTGAAACTCTGAAAACATATATTTACTTATTGAACATTTACACAATTGAACATACTATTTACATTATATGTTGGCCTACTGATTATTCTATAAATTCTTACAGTATGTGGCTACTACTGCAAACTATATAAGTAAAGTCGATTGCTCAAGATCTACCTGTAGATCCAATCTACTTACTGGGCAGCCTTGTTCTACATTATAGGCATAATAATGTAAAAGGGAAATTATAGTTCAAACAGATAACTGCAGTAATCCATGTTGACAAGCATTAGATGTATTATTGGATGGTCATATGTTACTTTTTAGTCTGCTGGTTTCGGGGACTTTTGTTGACATTGTTTTTTTTCCTCTCTTCTTTTTCCAACAGTTGTATAAATTGCATTTTCAAATACAAGTAAACACATCTCAAATGAATACAATCGTTATGGCTTACGGTGCTATTTAAGAGCAGATTAGATCTTAGTGTGTCAACATAATTCATTCAGCTGTTTGTGCTTGTCTTGTCAAAGCCAAGAAAGGAAATGTTATAGCATGTGCAGTGAACATAGTTCATTTACATTTTCAGACAGTATCTGGGTGTGTTTGTTCTACTATGTTTAGTCTTGATTTGATAGAGCTGAGATTTAGGCATGTGTTCTGTAACTAGTTTTAGACTGAACAACAACATTGTTTCCTGAAATGTCATAGGTCTGTCAAACACTAGGTGGGATTTCTGAGATGACTCCACTGCGTTAGACAGGGTATACTGTACAGCAGAGCACTAATCAATGGAGGCTGAGGAGAGGATACCATCCTAATTCAATGAATAACTGAATTAATAGTCCTGACTGTGTCATATTGAAGCAGTTCAGCAGTACAGTTTTCTGCAGCACATGATGATTTAAACTAAAGCTGTGGCACTTACTTCATCTGTTTGACAATTGTACTTTTCCCAGACTCCCCAGCACCTGGAACAAAGACAAGATCAGGGGAAAACATTCAGTATTTTCCAAAAATGAGTACAATGAATATTACTGCGAAAGTGTCACTATTAAAAATAATAACTTCTCTCAACAGGTTGACTCACCACTTTCCATTAGGTGAATTTCTATCAATAAAGCTAGTCATTACTTTTATTGAAATGAGTTGAATACTGTCAACTTCACCAATATATTTATTTACAAGTTTTTATAAGTTTGAGTCAGCATGTCCTTACTGATTCTAGATACTAGAATTCCATCCATCCATCCATTTTCATCCGCTTATCCGTTACCGGGTCGCGTATTATTTATCATTTATATGCTTTTCGCAATATTATATAATATATATATAATATTATATATAATAATATAACTGTTGATAAAATTCCGTCATTAAGAAAATATAATTAGAAGAATACAGATTTAAATGAAAAATAACATTTAAATAAGCATAAAATAAATCAAACACACACAAACACATCTGCTTCCTTCTATATATTAGCAGGTATGTTTTATGATCGTAATAATTAACGATAACTGCAAACTAATGTTACAAACTTCATATTATAATGCCACCTACAGTCTCACTATATATTGCATATAATATATACATATAGATATAAATGATATGTCACCCAGATGCAAAAAGATATTCCGTTTTCTCACAGATCCCTATGAGATACGTGGCTGTTTTAGCTGAGCACACAATATTTTAATTACCTTACCACTGCAGGGACTCATGGTTCCCTGGTGAGGAAAAGTGTTTATCATTTCATTGTCCCACATGATAAAACAGCCACACACTGCAGACACGGAGCTAATACGCCTTCAAACATTTCAATTAATTCCCAAACACACACTCGTGCTTCATTAAGCTGCTGAAATTGAAGAACTCATGGGCTGCAGAGTAAAAACTAAAAACGGCAATATTATTTAGATGGAGTTAGAACAGCATAACCCAGGGACGGTGATTTTTTAAAGCTAAAAAAAGATTCAGGTATGTCCACAGGAAACAAACAGTTCTAGAGCACAATGACTTCTCTGATAGTTTATCATGGAAATAACATGCACAACCACAAAAGTTTAGAAATCACGATTTGCATACAGTGCCTACAGCTGATGTCCGCCCACTCAAAATGCTCATCTCATAATGTGTCACTTGAAGATTACCGCATTAATGCAAACAGAGCCAGTGGGAGAAAAGGCAGAGCCACAAACTGAAATAAGCCTGCGTGCCAACCTCATACAATATAAAAGACAAAGTTAGTTTGGCTGAAGTGAAACTCAAAGGCACGTATTTAAAGATTTATGGTAGCAGGTGATAAACCCACAAAACCAAACCCATTTGCCTTTTTGCAGTTGCCAGCGAGGATAATGACAGTAGAAAAATAAACATGAAAATTCAAACAAGGTCTGCCTAAAATGACGCAGGCACAAACTGAGCGCTTCGGCCTTTGTGACCAGGGTGAGGTCATATATCTGAAAATAGGTGGTACCACAGACACCAAGACCCCCCATTCATTAAGTACATTAAACCATGTATGTCTGTGAGGCCATTTCCCTGACCAAATGTTGACATCTATCGATGCAAGTAAGAATGTACTCAATGTCTTTGCTGAGGGTGTTGTTGGACCACAAATACCCATTGGTGTCAGCAAGGCTGAACAGGTTGCTATGCAACTCACTCAGCTGACTTTTCCTGATTGAAATACCCAGCAGTGGTTATCAGCCACCATAGGATGAGAGAAAGGTGAAGTGGTACCATTCACAGAAATAATTCAACAAGCTACATAAAACAGCAGTGAGTGCAAACCTCCACAAACGTTGCCCAAGTCTTATTTCAAAAAGGTTAACTGTTTCTTGGAAAATAACTGAACTTGGGTGAACAAGTACCAGTCATCTGTAAAGGTATTTTATTGTGGTATATATCAGATCCTATATATTTCCAAGGAAATTAATTGATCATTTTCAAAATAATGCTGTTCATATAAACATAATACCTGGACTTGTAAACATTTATGGGGAGTTAGCTCAAATGGTAGAGCACACGCTTAGCATGCAAGGCATCGATGTCTGCATCTTCCTTTGTGGGGCAGTGGTGGCTTGATGGCTAAGGAGACGGGAGGTTTCAGGTTTGAATCTACAAGCTGCCAAGTTACCACTGAGGTGCACTGAGCATGGCACCGTCCCCAAACACTGCTCCCCAGGTGCTAGAGCTGCTGCCTGCTCACTTTAGCGATGGGTTACAAGCAGCACCTAAATGATGATGTCACAGTCAGAGGAGATGCATCTAAATGTAAAATCTAAATAAGAGAGATGCAAGGATTGATCAAAAATCCTTCAATCCTTGAAAACAAATGAATAAAAGTTACAGTAAAACAAGTAAACACTTCTAAATCTAACTATTGTGGTTGAAAAGATCAGACAACAGATAAAATGACAAAAGTCACTTAAAAACTAAAAATATACATTGTTATATTCCTATTTTGCAAAAAGGCCGTTTTTGGCCAGCATAAACATAAAGAGTAATATATCTTATATCAAGGTGAACCTTTACTGTCAGATCAGTAAGTAGAACTGTTATTATATTTGACTAAATTTTGAGTCAATTAGTATGTATGTATCGAAGAAATACACGTTTTCAGCATATTAGATGTGACTATGTTTTGATTTGTTTGTGCGCAGATGTTAGTATCCGTACAGAATACCATGACCGGTTTGTTCATTATATTCAACAACGTCTGACAACTGTTGAATAATGCCGCTAATAGATTTGGAAATTGAAGATGTCTCAACCAGCACATTCACACACACCTTATCGGTATCAATTAAGAGACTATGTAAATACTGTTTTATTTATTTTATTATCCCTTATACGCGATTCGTGTGTACCACAGCTGTTTGATAGCAACTCGAGGTTAAGTCGATATAAATGCCGTTGCTCTTGTTTTACCACTTGGACACTGCCTTTAAATAACGGGTTTCAACATCTTTTATTTTATTTTACTAACATTGCTATTGTGTTGCTTTTATTCGGTAGATAGAGCAGGGTGGGTGTAAGACGACGCATGTGTAACACGGAAACATACGAAACCCAGCGATTCATTTTCCCAACATTTT